GCCAAAGTGCAACCCGTCGAGGTGCAGAGTAGTGTGGCATCCCCCTGGGCCTGGGTTTAGGGTTTAAGGTTTAGGGTTTAGGGTTCAGGGTTCAGGGTTTAAGGTTTAGGGTTTAGGGTTACGCTGGAAGTAGCAAGCTGAACCCGAAGCCCAAGCCTCAGGCGTGAAGCGTGCGCCGGATGTATCTAGCAGGCTTCTGAGTTCTGCAAATCCTACGCTCACGCAGCTCAGGGTGTGGGCCTGTGCACCCTTTTCATGAGTCCAGTAGCTGGAGACCTAGCCCTAAACCCTAAACCCTAAACCCCAAACCCTAAACCCTAAACCCCCTTTGTCCCAGGGACGATGACGGGATTCGCTTGGAGGCCTCCGAGGCCTTCCGCAAGCTGCTGGATTCCCTGCTGCAGCAGCACGCACCTTGACTTGGGGGGGGGGGGTTTAGAGTTAGGGTTTAGGGTTTAGGGTTTGGGGTTTAGGGCTTAGGGTTTAGGGTGAAGGGTTTTAGGGTTTTAGGGTTTAGGGTTTAAGCCCTCTAAGTGCCCTAATACGGGTGTAAGTACAGTTATGGTTGGATACCCTGCTGCAGCAGCACGCACCTCGACTGGGGGACCGCTTTTGCTCACTTGTGCCAATAAGGTTGGTTTTAGGGTTTAGGGTTTAGGGTTTAGGGTTTAGGGTTTAGGGATTAGGATTCAGGGTTTAGGATGGAGGGTTCAGGGTTTAGGGTTTAGGATGGAGGGTTCAGGGTTTAGGGTTCAGGTTTTGGGTTAAGGGTTCAGGGTTTAGGCTTTGCTCGCTTGAGCGATGTGGTTTAGGGCTTACAGTAGCATGTAGGGCCTTAGGGTTGTGGGCTGGGGTTTAGGGTTTAGGGTTTAGGGTTTAGGGTTTAGGGTTTAAGGTTTAGGGTTTAGGGGGTTTAGGGTTTAGGGGGTTTAGGGTTTATAGGGTTTAGGGTTCCGGGTTGAAGGTCTGGGGTTGAGGGTTAGGGTGTCGGCTGGCGCTTCGGCAACCCTTTATGTCCCCCACTCCTCTTCGAAAAGCATTGGCCTCTATTCGCGAAGTAGGTTTTGTCAAGACCCGGCTCTCGAGGTGAGTATGTCTTTGAGCCAGCGTCCGCCACCGAAACCCCAAACCCTAAACCCCCCACCCACATTCGTCCCTACGAACTTTTCATGGACACTTATAGGAGTGGGGTTTTTAGGAGATCCGAATCATCAGTCTAATTTGGTGCCTTTCCCTAGGCGCTAAGCAGAACTGAGCCCCTTTTGTATGTCTGCCTCTGTACGTGTGTAGTACCTCACTCGCTAACTCCCCCTTGAAGCACAGTAAGTATCAACCCCGAGGTGGATTTTCGATCGTGAGGTTTGCAGCTGGATCTTAAGAGTTGTTGTTAGGGTTTAGGGTTTAGGGTTTAGGGTTTAGGGTTTAGGGTTTAGGGTTTAGGGTTTAGGGTTTAGGGTTTAGGGTTTAGGGTTTAGGGTCTAGCGTTTAGGGTTTAGGTTTAAGGTTTAGGGGACTTCGGCGGATGTGAACTTCAGGGGTCTGATCAGGGATCCGGGATCAAGATGTTTGATGTTGCTCTGAGAGCCTCTGCGCTCGAAAAAAATGCCGTGCATAGCAGGGTGTGTTTTGAGCACAGGGAGCTTCAAAATCAGAGCCCTAGGGCCTCAGGGGAAGGCCCCATGCACCTAAACCCTAAACCCTAAACCCTAAACCCTAAACCCTAAACCCTAAACCCTAATTAGGTGATGGAGCTGAACGACCTCGCCAGCGCTGGTGGCAGGCTCACCTGTGTGGAGGGAATCGGGAGGTGAGGGTACCGGTTTAGGGTTTCTTGAAATGCTTATATAAGGGTTCAGGGTTTAGGGTTTAGGGTTTAGGGTTTAGGGTTTAGGGTTTCCTGAAATGCTTAAGGGTTCAGGCCTGGGGAAAGTTTGGAGGAAAGTTTCTTTTTCTTGGTTTGGACTGTTGAATAATTTCAAGTTGCAGGGGCTTGAGGGTTCAGGCTTTGGGGTTTAGGGTTTGGGGTTCAGGTTGAGGGCTGAGACTTCCGAATTCCTTTTGTTCATGTTTTGGGGTTTCTTTGGGGGGGGGGGGGGTTCAGGGTGCACGTGCTCGCCTTTGGGTGCACAATCATCCGAGAAGCCCAACCCAAAGAGTGAGCCCTTACCCAGAAGCTCCAAACCTAATGGGGCTGTCGCCCACAGCCCCCCCAAGAGTCCTGGTGCTGATGATGCGCGTCCCCGGATCCCCCCTAAACCCTAAACCCTAAACCCTAAACCCTAAACCCTAAACCCTAAACCCTAAACCCTAAACCGTGTAGGAGAAAGGAAGCCGCGGTGATGCGCACCCTTGCCCCGCCCCTTTTCGAAATTTCCAGCCGCATCCGAAACCCGAGGCCCGACCCGCTGATGCTCATGATGCGCGCTCTTTTTAGGGGTCATTTGGGGTGGCCGGCACCCCCCCAAAAAGTCAACAACGCGTCTTCGGCAAAAGTTCAAAAAGGACAGAGTCGATGATGCTCTCCGGGTCGTTTTGGGGACCTCCGTGGGGATACCCAGAAAATGCCCAATTTGGGTGGGAATACAAAATGTGCCTTTACCCCTTACCCCCTTACCTCCCCCCCCCCCCACCCCCCCCCCACCCTACCCCCCTACCCCCCCTGCCCCCCTCTGCCCCCCTGCCCCCCTGCCCCTGCCCCCCTGCCCCCCTGCCCCCCACCCCCCCCACCCCAACCCCCCGACCGGTTTAGTCCGTTTAGGCCGTTTAGGGCTTTTGGGGTTTAGGCCGTTTGCAGTTGCTTGGGGTTTGCCTGGACCCCAAAAGCATGTAAACAAGATAGCCCGAAACCCTGAAAGATAGGACCTTGATTTTACATACTCTGGGTTCAGCTAGGGTTTACACTCCAGAAGGTTGGGACATGGCTTAAGGATGATTCGAGCTGGGAGTTCCTGTAGTGTTATACCTCTTGGGGTCTGAGGATAAGGATCCAGGGTGTAGGTTTTGCCCCAAACCCCAAACCCCAAACCCCCAACCCCAAACCCCAAACCCCCAACCCCAAACCCCAAACCCCCAACCCCCAACCCCCAACCCCCAAACCCCAAACCCTGAACCCTGAACCCTGAACCCTAAACCCTAAACCCTAAACCCCAACTCCCACGCCGCGCAGGGCGCGTGGCCCGGAGAGGTATGTGTCGAACCCCGCGTCGCCCAACTCGATTCACAGCAGCACCACCAAGGCTATGGACCGCCCCCTGGCTCCATTCTTGGGGTTTAGGGTTAGGGTTTAGGGTTTAGGGTTTAGGGTTTAGGGTTTAGGGTTTAGGGTTTAGGGTTTAGGGTTTAGGGTTTAGGGTTTAGGGTGTTCCATTGGAGGTGCACGGGCAGATTTGGACTGGGGTTATAGGTAGGGGATCTGGCGAAAGCCTTAGATTTGGGTACTAGTAGCCTATACCCATGGCGACCCGTGAATCTTGAAGAGCTGTCTCCTGGTTTGGTCGGAAGAAACCAGTAGTACCCTCAACCCTAAACCCTAAACCCTATAGACCCCAAACCCTAAACCCTAAACCGAAACCCCAAACCCCAAGCCCCAAGCCCCAAGCCCCAAGCCCCAAGCCCCAAGCCCCAAACCCCCCACCCTACACTCGACTTTCGAAAACACAGTCACTGAATCCCAAAAGGATGCCACTCGGACAACGTCGACTCCATTCTGGCCTCGACGGGCTTGCGGTTATTCCAGGCTCCGGGTTTAGGGTTTAGGGTTTAGGGTTTCGGGTTTGGGGTTTCTCGGGTGAGGGGTTTAGCATTTCGGGTGATGGGTTTGGGGTTTAGGGTTTGGGGTTTGGAGTTTAGGGCTTCGGGTTGGGGTTTAGGGTTTCGGGTTTCGGGTTTAGGGTTCAGGGTGTGGGGTTTGGGGTTTGGGGTTTTGGTGTAGGGTAGCCCCAAAACCCTAAACCCTGAACGATTATCACGCCAAGATCGTGTTTTTTGCTTTCTTTGTTCGAGGCCTGCCGCTGATGGTGTGCAGGCGTATACAGGAGACATTGGGATGCGTCAGTACCCTTAGCCCTCAACCCTGAACCTTAAAACTGTAGGGTTTAGGGTTCAGGGTAGCCCCTGAACAGCTGGATTTCGAGTTTCGGTGTCCGTGTTCTGGGTGCTTAAGCGACTTCTTGGAGCAAGGGCTGGTCTGGTCCCCTGCCATTCCGTCACGCCTGGCAGAGCCCCAGAGAGTCCTAAGACCCAAGGGAGCTAGCTGAGGCTGAGGGTCTCGGGCGAAATCCTTTCGAGCCACACGCTGAACCCTAAACCCTAGAACCTAAACCCCAAACCCTCACCCTATACTCCCCTGGACAAAGTATCTTCCTGGTTTGTGTGTAAGTCAGCCCGCCACGCCCCGGAGCTTGCTGTATGCGTAAGGTGCAGCGTCCCCTTTTTGGGGACGAAATGGGCCCAGAAAGATTTCGGGTTTTAGGGGTTTAGGTATAGGGTTTTAGGCTTTTAGGGTTTTAGGGTTGTAGGGTTGTAGGGTTTTGGGGTTTTGCGGTGTTGGGGTTTTAGGGTTTCAGGGCCAGATGAAGCATCAAGGGGTTTATACAGTATAATCGGATTATGGTAGTATCAAAACCAGAGTATACCTTGTATAGGATATATGACCCCCAATATTAGCGTTCATTCGGTCCCCCTGGGAACCTATGGCAACAGCACGCATCCCCTGCTGACTCGTTCCTATGTCAACTCTTATCTTCGAAGCCTGGGCGACCAAATGAAAACCAAACATTGGGTTTAGGGATTAGGGTTTAGAGTTTACGGTTTAGGGTTTGGGGTTTCGGGTTCATATACCCATGTAGCATAAACTGGGGCCTCAAAAAAGGAATTCTTATTTAGTAGCTGTAGGGACCAAGTATATACAGTATACTTATGGATTCCTGGATGCAAGCCCTCAGAAGGGTTCTGACATGAGCGTCCTTCGAAGCTGCAAAGAACGACTGTGCAGCCGCAAGATGCTTCGGAGTCTTTCGGCCAAGGCCCCTGGACGATCAAGATACACTGTACATGCGAAACGGCACATGCAAGCGTCAAGTGCTTCGGAAGCTGCGGCGGTTCTGGTCAAGCAGCTGAAAGAAGCGGAGGAGGATTTCAGTGCGCTTTTCGGGGAAAAGGCTGGCACTCACTGTTGCAGCATGCCCTAAACCCTAAACCCTAAACCCTAAACCCTAAACCCTAAACCCTAAACCCTAAACCCTAAACCTTCTCTTTGTTCTGCCGATTCCACTCCAGATTCGGAGTAGCCTCAGCTCAGCCCGCAAGGTCGAGGGGCCTGTATGACTACAAGAGGCGTTGGACCCCTAAGGCTAATCCGAAGGTTGTTTTTGTCTGCACCCTAAACCCTAAACCCTAAGCCCTAAACCCTAAACCCTAAACCCTAAACCCTAAACCCTAAACCCTAAACCCTAAACCCTAAACCCTAAACCCTAAACCCTAAACCCTAACCCTAAACCCTAAACCCAAACCCCAACACCTAAATCCCAAACCCCAACACTTAAATCCCAAACCCTAAACCCTAAACCCAAACCCCAACACCTGGCTTCATGTGGGCCTCAAGCTAGAACTAGGGACGCAGAGAAGGCCTTTTTTAAGGATTTAGGTGCGCTTATCAGCCCCCTTAAACCCAAAAGAGCATCCGGAAGTTGTTGTGCAAGTGTAGGATAGGGTTTAGGGTTTGGGGTTTGGGGTTTAGTGTTTGGGGTTTGGGGTTTGGGGTTTGGGGGTCAGGGTGTATGCCAGGCGCGGAACATCTTGGACGCACTGGATGACACCGATGGTGAGGCGCGGGCTCAGGGTTTAGGGTTTAGGGTTTTTGGGGGTCCTCAACCCTAAACTCTATTTTAGGGTTTAGGGAAAATTTAACTTCCGAGTTTTTGTTCGGGGTAGTCTTGGGGCCAAAGTAGATACATCGAGCAATCTGTGCACCCTAAACCCTAAACCCTAAACCCTACACCCTACACCCTACACCCTACACCCTACACCCTACACCCTAAACCCTAAACCCTAAACCCTAAACCCTAAACCCTAAACCCTAAACCCTAAACCCTAAACCCTAAACCCTAAACCCTAAACCCTAAACCTAAAACCCAAACCCTAAACCCTAAACCCTAAACCCTAAACCCTAAACCCTAAACCCTAAACCCTAAACCCTAAACCCTAAACCCTAAACCCTAAACCCTACTCAATCCCTAAACCCTAAACCCTAACCCTAAACCCAGGCCAAGGGGCTCTTTCAGAAGCCGCCGCATGGCCATCGCATGTCTCGGAGCCTCGACATGGTTTAGGGTTTAGGGTTTAGGGTTTAGGGTTTAGGGTTTAGGGTTTAGGGTTTAGGGTTTAGGGTTTAGGGTTTAGGGTTTTGGGCCGGTTTAGGGTTCCGGGTTTAGGGATGAGGGTTGAGGAGTATTGAGGTTGGGTGAGGACTATTCAGGGTGTGGGAGGTTAAGGTTTCTGAAGATCTGGTGTGGGCGCGTTCCGAGAATAGCTTGGTAGCCCAATGGCATCCCTTCTGTTCCCTTGTGTAACCAACTCCAAAAAGGGTACCCTGATTACAACCTGATCGTGTTATGTCCCTTTTTTGTTGGCGGGTGGATTTGGGGGGGTTTTTTGGGACATGTCCATTTGGGTTTCCTTTTAACTTGAAGATTCAAAATTTCTTGACCTTTGAAGCCCGTTACTTTGTAGCTGGAGAAGTAGTAGCTACCGACGCTTCCAAGACATCGGAGAGTGAACAGGACCCTAAGCCCTAAACCCTAAACCCTAAACCCTAAACCCTAAACCCCCAACCCCCAACCCCGAATCCCGAAACCCTAAACCCTAAACCCTAAACTCCAAACCCCCAACCCCGAATCCCGAAACCCTTGAGAAGCCCGAAGCCATGAAAGTCCGGCCAACCCTCAAAGTTAGAGAAAAAGAAGTCGCCTCAACCCCTCAACTCCTCTGAGCTCTAAAACCTTGAACCCCTTAAGCCTCAAACCCGAAACCCTAAACCCTAAACCCTAAATCCTAAACCCTAAGCCCTAAACCCTAAACCCTAAACCCTAAACCCTAAACCCTAAACCCTAAACCCTAAACCCTAAACCCTAAACCCTAAACCCTAAACCCTAAACCCTAAAACCCAACCCCCCCCCCCCCCCCCCCGCCCCCCAAGTCCCAGTTGCCCTCTTAGCCCCGAGAAAGGATGAGTTCCGACGATTGGCTGCCGCAGCTCTTCGAGGAAGGTTTAGGGTTGTGGGTTCAGGGCTTAGGGCTTAGGGCTTAGGGTTTAGGGTTTAGGGTTTAGGGTTTAGGGTTTAGGGCTTAGGGTTTAGGGTTTAGGGTTTAGGGTTTAGGGTTTAGGGTGCGTCCGCGGTTTGTGTAGTGGGTTTTGGGTTCAAGATGCAGGTACTTCTTGCATCGGCTGCGAGATTCCTGCTAGTTTTTGTATACAGACCGTAGCTGACCGCCCAAATCGGGTCCAATCGGCAGAGTTGAGGGGGCTGATCTCAACTCCTGGCCCCTTGCTGTCGAGAGCTTCATGGGGCGGGTGGGGGGGGTGGGGGGGGTTAGGGTTTAGGGTTTAGGGTTTAGGGTTGATGGTCCGCATACCTTAGTAGGGATTACAGCAGCACGCGGTATATGATCCCAATTTGTGCATCTGGTCCCCCTGAGTCTACAGTCTAAACCCCAGACCCTAAACCCCTGAACCCGAACCCTCTAAACCTTATGGTTTAGGGTTTGAGTCTCTAATTTTACATTCTGAGCGTGTGGTGGAATCTCTCGGCGAATTTGGTTCTGGACTGTAGGGGCTTCGAAAGCTCTAAGGGCCTCACGGGTTTAGGGCTTAGGGATTTTAGCGCTTAGGGTTTCGGGCTTGTTCAGGTCTCAGGGCTATTAGATTACAAAACCCAGGGGGTAACCCTAAGCTCTCGCTTCTCCTAAGATCCTAGAGCAACCCGCTTGTGCGTGCAGGACACGGAGCAGTCCGCGTCTTTCTCGGAGCCGCGGCAGAGAGGGAGATCTTTTTGGGGGCCGACTGAACCCCAAAGTGGGGATCACATACAGTATGCTACCGTACTGGAATCCCTTATTTGAAGGAATATGGGCCCGCAAGCCCTTCTAGGCTTCATTTGGTCCCCAACTCTTTGTCGGCTTTGGACCTTCGGTCGAAACGTTTCGTTCAAGACGTTATTGGGACCCAAAACCTATACAATTTCTATAAGCCCTAAACCCTAAACCCCAAAACTGACGAGACTGCCAGCCCTTCCTCCGCCAAGTCTCTCTCGCGCTGCCAGCGCGCAAGAATCTACTTCCAGTCGGCCAGCTACGAGATGGCAGCTTGGGCTTAGTGGGTTTAGGGTTTAGGGATTAGGGTTTAGGGTTTAGGTTCAGGGTTTAGGGTTCAGGGTTTAGGGTTTAAGGTTTAGGGTTCAGGGCTTATGTTTAGGGTTTAGGGTTTAAGGTAATTGTAAGGTTTCGGCTTTTAGGGTTTCGTGTCAAGAGTCTTTTCTGGGGGGGGGGGGTTGGCTCATGAGCACAAGAAGAACTGAGGGCGTTGTACTAGTAGGGATGTAGGAAAACTCAACATCATCAAGTCAACCGAGCGAGGGGGAGAGAGAGAGAGAGAGAGAGAAAGAGAGAAAGACAAAAAAGTAATACAGGGGTCGGAGTATTTACTAGTACTAGTCCTCGTGGTCCTAGCATACAAATCTAGAGTAACCCTCTAAAACCCTATTCTAATTTTCCAGGCCCCTACATTCAACCCTAGACGCGAAACCTTGAATCCTAAACCCTAAACCCAGAGAGAGAGAGAGAGAGAGAGAGAGAGAGAGAGAGAGAGAGAGAGAGACAGAGCCAGAGCCAGAGCCAGAGCCAGAGCCAGAGCCAGAGACAGAGACAGAGACAGAGACAGAGACAGAGAGAGAGGTAGAGAGAAAGAGAGAAAGAGAGACAGACTGACAGAGAGAGAGGTAGAGAGAAAGAGAGAAAGAGAGAGGTAGAGAGAAAGAGAGAAAGAGAGAAAGAGAGAAAGAGAGAAAGAGAGAAAGAGAGAAAGAGAGAAAGAGAGAAAGAGAGAAAGAGAGAAAGAGAGAGAAAGAGAGACAACGTAGGGCAGCAGAGAAGGTCATCGCGTCGTTGTTGTGCATCAACGTCATGTGGATGGCCTTTGAACTCCAGCTCTATGGTGCGCAGCCGCTTGGACGGGGTTTAGGGTTTAGGGTTTAGGGTTTAGGGTTTAGGGTTTGGGGTTTGGGGTTTAGGGTTAGGGGTTAGGGTTTAGGGTTTAGGGTTTAGGGTTTAGGGGTTAGGGGTTAGGGGTTAGGGTTTAAGGGTAAGGGTTCAGGGTTTTGGGGTTTAGCCTAGTTTTGGGTATTTCGGGGGCTCGGCCTTGCAGGGGCCCATGGGGTTAGGGTCATTTGTGGTGTGTATACGTGTGAAACCCCAAACCGAAAACCCTTAACCCTTACCCCTTATCCCTTATCAACTAGGATGCCCAGTAGTGCCCTTATTCCCTTTTTGGGGGTTTAGGTTCCCTTATAAGCCCCTTTAAGCAAAAAAGGTCACCCTTTTTAATCCCAGGTTACTGGGCAACCCAGTAAAGCTTGTAAGCCGTACCGGACGTAGACCCCCTGAGCTGCGTGAATGTACCATGAAGGTTAGGGCTTGAAAAAGCTTCGGGTCCCAAAAGACCCTAAGCTGTGAGTCCTAAAACCCCCAAATCCTAAACCCTGAAACCCTAAACCCTAGCCCTAAACCCTAAACCCTCTACAGACCCCAAAAGCAAGGTCTGGACAGCTTTTGGGCATTGACGAGGCAACTGGCAAGCTGCGCTCGCGTCATGTGCTACACTGAGGGTCCCCCTTACCCCTGGGGCAGGGGTTAGGCTTTGGGGTTTGGGGTTTAGGGTTTAGGGTTTATAAGGCTTAGGGCTTAGGGTTTGGGATTTAGGGTTTACCACGGCACCCCTTTTTTATGGGTTCATGCTCTGAGAACCTCGTCATAAAAATGCCCGCACAAAGTATGCGAAGCACCGTGTAACAGGCACACCAACCCTGATAGTCCCTGTAAGAAATGAGTTCAATGATGTCTGTATTCAATTCAACCAACCCAAGGCAATGTGTGCGCCCTTATTGCCGTTTATTGGGGTTAGGTTCGCTTAGAAGCCCCATTAAACCAAAAAGGGTACCCCTTTCAATCCTAGGTCACTCTCGGGTCTAGTTTCTAAGGCTTGTTACATGGGCCTGAATGTGGTCTCTTACCTCCATGAAAGGGTTCTGATGTAAGGGCCCTTGGGTTGTACAGAGTATAGAAGGGGCATATAAGGGGTCCCCGACCATGCAACTACCCTAAGAAGTGTTTGTTCTATATTTTGTCTCTGTGTAAGCCAAGGTGGTTCTCCAAAACAAGCTCCTAAACCCTAAACCCTAAACCCTAAACCCTAAACCCTAAACCCTAAACCCTAAACCCTAAACCCTAAACCCTAAACCCTACACCCCCACTCCCCTCAGGTGACGCCCATGGACAAGGCGTGGTGGGATCACTTCTTCGAGGTTGGAGACATCGCCTTCACAGGCTCCATGCTGACCCGGGCTTGCGTTCGGGGTTTGGGTTGAGGGCTTAGAGTGTAGGGTTTAGGGTTTTGGGTTTTGGGTTTTGGGTTCAGGGTTTAGGGTTTCAGGGTTTAGGGTTTAGGGTTTCAGGTTTCAGGGTTTCAGGGTTTCAGGGTTTTAGGGTTTTAGGGTTTCAGGGGTTCAGGGTTTTAGGGTTTTAGGGTTTTAGGGTTTCAGGGTTTCAGGGTTCTAGGGTTTGAGGGTTTGAGGGTTTTGGGTTTGGCAGGGGGGGGGGGGGGGGGGGGGGGGGGATTTGGGTTCAGGATGTACTCACAGGTCCCCTTTCCTTTGGTCAGGGTTTCTGAGGTACATGAGGGAGATATGGCCATGACCTGTGAGGCCGCATGAACCGCACAAGTGTTGTGTCCATATACCTCACTAGGTGTTATAGTAGTACAGGGTATATCCTAAACCTGAAACCCTAAAACCCTGGACCCTAGTCCCTCACCCTAAACCCCAATGTCCGGGTTCATTTGGTCCTCAAGGAAGGGGGCCCCAAAGAAGGGCACATGTAGCCACCCTTAAAACAAATCCGGCCCTCTTTGCCGTCTTTAGGGTTTAGGGTTTAGGGTTTAGGGTTTAGGGTTTAGGGTTTAGGGTTTAGGGTTTAGGGTTTAGGGTTTAGGGTTTAGGGTTTACTTGTATACTTGTATACACTTTTTTGAGCCCACGACTTGGTTCCAGCTGCAGGCATCTTCACCGTGGACGTCCTGTTGCCGGCCGGCATTTGGCACTGCCCAATCCGGCTCTTAAGCGCCGGCCCAGATGAACCTGTTGTTTAGGGTTTCGGGGTTTAGGGTTTAGGGTTTAGGGTTTAGGGTCGGGCTTACGTCTTAGAGGTTCCTTTATGACCTTGAAATTCCATGAAGCAAGTAAGCCAAAGGGTACCCTTGTTATTCCTCGGATACTCGCAATGCTAGGACTAGGACGAAATTGGCATCTGAACGACATCTTAAAAAAATCACATTACATACATGCCTACAACCATTCTTAATCCTCAGCTGTACCGACATTCCAATCCTTTTTCCGATGTATACGTATACATACATCTACACAAAACTATGTAGAGAGAGAGAGAGAGAGAAAGAAAAACAAAGCACAGCTTGAGGGGGTGGGGGGGGCCTCCTACCAAGCCAATCAGCAAACAGCAACGGACGCAAACCCTCCACAACCTAAAGCCTCGGCACTCTAATCGCTCAAGTCCTGCAAAAGATGGCATCGTCGCTATAGTCAGCTTGGCACCATGGGCCGTTAGTATGGTCCCTTAGCCCTTGGTTATCGGGATCCGAAGTACGGGCCCTTATATTATATAGAGCGTGCATATGGGTTATATAGCAAGGGACCCAAATTAAGTGCCCGTACTTGGAACCTTAAGTTGAAGGTCGGCGAAAGATGTCGAGAGCACTACTTAGGCAGAACAGCTGTTTCGGGGTTCAGAGGTTTAGGAGCTTGGGGTTTAGGCATTTAGGTCTCCGGTTTTTCAGGTTTTGTGGTTTCGAGTTGCTGGGCTTAGGGTTGAGAGATTTGGCATTTCGAGGAGTAGCGGTGTCGGCGGTTTGCCGGCCTTGGGGCGGAGGCCGAGGCCGCAATCTCCTAGAACCTGCGAGTCCCGGTTCAGCGTTTAGGGTGTATGATTAGGGTTTAGGGTTTAGGGTTTCGGGCCCGAAGCAGGATTTACAGCTTAGGCTGCGGATCACCATTCTGCAAAGCGACTTCTGGCGAGTGCGGCTGGCCGAAGGATTTGTGCTCCTAGGATGTAGGGTTCCAAAACCCTAAACCCTAAACGCTAAACCCTTAAACCCTAAACCCTAAACGCTAAACCCTAAACCCTAAACGCTAAACCCTTAAACCCTTAAACCCTTAAACCCTTAAACCCTTAAACCCTTTAAACCCTAAAACCCTTGAACCCTAAACCCTTAAACCCTTAAACCCTTCAACCCTCAAACCCTGAAACCCTTACACCCTTAAACCCTTAAACCCTTAAACCCTTAAACCCTTAAACCCTTAAACCCTTAAACCCTTAAACCCTTACACCCTTAAACCCTTAAACCCTCAAACCCTCAAACCCTTAAACCCTTAAACCCTTAAACCCTTAAACCCTTAAACCCTTAAACCCTGAAACCCTTAAGCCCTTAACCTAACTCTTGATAGTTGCATGATGCTCGCATTGTTTTTTGGAGGGCGCTATAGGGCAACCTGATAGCCCATACTCGGTTAGACTTCCGGTTTTACTTCCTGTTGGTTAGCAGGGAATGGGGTCTAAACCCTAAACCCTCAACCCTAAACCCTAGACCCTAGACCCTAAACCCTAAACCCTAAACCCTTAACCGCAGTAAGCTTGAGGCCCTTCAGAACTCGGCATTGCTTAGAACGAGCAGCAGGATGTTGGGATTGCTCCCCAGAAGTGGCTCATGTTGTGGGGGTTAGGGTTTGGGGTTCAGGGTTCAGGGTTTAGGGTTTGCGGTTGAGGGTTTGGGGTTTACGGTTTAGGGTTTAGGGTTTAGGGTTGTTGGGGGTTGAGGCTTTAGGGACCGTGTAGAGTGCAGATTGCAGGGTTCAGTAAGCCCTAAACCCTAAACCCTAAACCCTAAACCCTAAACCCTAAACCCTAAACCCTTAACCCTTAACCCTTAACCCTTAACCCTTAACCCTTAACCCTTAACCCTTAACCCTTAACCCTTAACCCTTAACCCTAAGCCGCCGCGACTCCCAGGTGGCTCAACTACATCGACTTTGCGGTCAGCTTGATATCAGTGGCTGCCCGGCTCGAATTGCTCGCCCTAAACCCGAAACCGTACCGATTTCGGGTTTAGGGTTTAGGGTTTAGGGTTTAGGGCTAGGGTTTAGGGTTTAGGGTTGAGGGTTGAGGGTTTAGGGGTTTAGGGTTTAGGGTTTAGGGTTTAGGGTTTAGGTATGTCAATAGCGCAAAATCCGCCATGTGGAGACCCAGATCGGCCCTCAACCATGAACACGAACTCCTGAGCCCCAAGCCGTAAGCCTCATGCCCAAACACCCTATAGCCTATAGCCCAAACCGCTAATCCCTAAACACCGTAAACCCCAAACCCTGAACCAAGACTCTCCAAGCCACCCTAAACCCTAAGCCCGAAACCCTAGCCCTAAACCCTAAACCCCTAGCCCCTAAACCCTAAACCCTACACCCTACACCCTACACCCTAAACCCTAAACCCTAAACCCTAAACCCTAAACCCTAAACCCTAGCCCTAAACCCTAAACCCCAGGCCGAAGTGGCGGTGGCTTACGTCAGCCAAGGGCTTCCCGTGAGTCCCATCCTCTTCCGCGCCTTGCCTTTTAGGGGTAAAGAGGTTGGGGGGTTTAGGGTTTAGGGTTTAGGGTTTAGGGTTTAGGGTTTAGGGTTTAGGGTTTAGGGTTTAGGGTTGTTTAGGGGCGTAGAGGGTTTTGGAGTCGTCGGTGGTTTGGGGTTCGGGGGAGTTTTGTTTGGGGTTTTGGGCTTTGGGGGTTTTAGGGGATCTAATGGCTTGAGGGATTAGAGGCTGATCTTGATATGGGGGGCTTCAGGCCTAGCAGCCCAACCCCTAATATCCTTAACCTTAATCTCCCGAACATGGAAGCCCTAAACCCCAAGCCTCCTCCCTGTATGGACTTTAGAAACCCTAAAACCCTAAACCCAAAACCCTAAACCCTAAACCCCTAAACCCCTAAACCCCTAAACCCCTAAACCCCTAAACCCCTAAACCCCTAAACCCCTAAACCCCTAAACCCTAAACCCTAAACCCTAAACCCTCAACCGAATTGAATACGAGGCCTGCTGCGGATGGGCAAGCTGGCGCGTGCCTTCCGCATGGTAACCATGTCCAGCGTGCTGAATTCGAGCCTCGCCTGGTAGGTTTGGGGTTTAGGGTTTAGGGTTTAGGGTTTAGGGTTTAGGGTTTAGGGTTTAGGGCTTCTTGAACCCTGTATGGTACCCCGACTAAGCCTGATACTCGGATCCCCTCAGCGCATAGGCCCTTCTGCAGCCATCATTCTTTGAAAGGGTTTGAGGGTTTAGGGCTTAGGGTTAAGGGCTTGGCGTACCTCAACTTCGTAGCCCAGCGGTACCCCTTTCCCTGTGTTTCGTTCCAGCTTCCCTTGTAAATAAAGTAGCCAACCCCCCAAAACGGGGTGCCCTTATCATAGTATGGTTTACTGGGCTGCCAAGTCAAAATCCGATGCCCCTAAACCCTAAACCCTAAACCCTAAACCCTAAACCCTAAACCCTAAACCCTAAACCCTAAACCTAAACCCTACACCCTACACCCTAAACCCTAAACCCTAAAACCCTAAACCCTAAACCTAGAAAAGCCAAGGTTGCAACTCTTGATCAAGTGCTTGGCAGCCAGCAGGGACATGCTGCTCTGGAGCTTCTGCCTCTCGACTCCAAGCCTAATCCCCAAAGAACCCTGAAAGCCCCGAGCACCCTAAAAAGGGTTCAGGGTTTAGGGTTCAGGGTTTAGGGTTTAGGGTTTAGGGTTTAGGGTTCAGGGTTCAGGGTTTAGGGTTTAGGGTTTAGGGTAAAAACCCCAGACCCCCAAACCCAGCCTGTACCACAATACCCCTAAACCCGAGACTCGGAACATCATGTCCTGAACCGCAAAGATCTTTTTGCCCGCTCTAGGATGAACAAACAACGGAGGTGTTAACGCTCCAATCCCAAAAGCCCCTCCCAAACTCTGAGCCCCTGCACCTTATTCAGGGTTTATCACTTAAACACCAGCGAAAGAAAGCCCAAGGCCTAGGACAACGGAATGAAGAAACTAAGATCCCTAAAGGGCCGAATCCCGCCCCCCAAGCCCGAAACCCCAAAAAAAGCACCCGAGAGCACTAAAGTTCTGGACCCTAAACCCTAGGGTTTAGGGTTTAGGGTTTAGGGTTTAGGGTTTAGGGTTTAGGGTTTAGGGTTTAGGGTTTAGGGTTTAGGGTTTATCCACAGCTCGGATGCCGAAGGCTTGCTCACTTTCGTCCAGTGCGTGGCCGGGCTTATTCTGTCCACGCTTTGCCGCGACTTCATCGAGAACGAGTCTGGTGATGTGGTTGTAAGAGAACAGGCCAGCTCGTTTGTATTCTACCATGTATAGAGTATATACATACGGTTACTCATACACATGTATGCACACGTATGCAGTTAATGTATGTGCAATACACATATGATGGAGTCTGCAGTCAGTCTCAAGTCATTTCTCAGGGAAGAGGAAGCAAGTTGTCAGCGGAGCAAAACGCTACAGGCGTCCCTCTAAACCCTAAACCCTAAACCCTAAACCCTAATGCCGCCCCAAAGAGTTCAACAGCCACACAGGACTCGGAGGCCTTCAAGGCCCAAAAACCAAAACCGCAAAGGTTTTGGGGTTTAGGGTTTAGGGTTTAGGGTTTAGGGGTTTAGGGGTTTAGGGGTTTAGGGGTTTAGGGGTTTAGGGGTTTAGGGGTTTTGGGGTTTTGGGTTTTGGGTTCCGGTTTTTCAAGCCCTCTGCTCCTAAACCAAACCCGCCAATACAACACCTCAGGGTTTTGTTTGGGGGGGGGTTTTGGGTTACCCCAAACCAGAAGCCCTCCTTGCACGGCGGATTGTGAACCCTGAGTCTCTAAAAATCTCGAACCAGGGGGTCCCTTCTTGAACCCTAAGCCCTAAACCCTAAACCCTAAACCCTAAACCTTAAAGCCTAAAAGCCTTCAAAGCTCTTTACGCCGGCAGGTGTTCAGGTACTACGGAACGTTCACCCGAACCATCCTCTCCATGTTCGAGCGCCCGGTTGCTGATTCACAGAAAGGCTTGAGGGTTGTTTTTTTTTTTTTGGGGGGGGGGTCTTCGGGGGGGTTTAGGGTTTAGGGTTCAGGGTTTAGGGTTTAGGGTTTAGGGCTTAGGGCTTAGGGTTTAGGGTTTAGGGTTTGTACATTACCATGCCAAGGAACCCGTAGTCGCGTCCAAAAGCAGGCATTGAGGTGACGTGGAGGGAACGCAGGTTGAGTGTTGTGGGGAGCGTTTAGGGTTTAGGGTTTAGGGTTTAGGGTTTAGGGTTTAGGGTTTAGGGTTTAGGGCTTCGGGTTTAGGACTTGGGGTTCTCAGGGTGTACCATCCTGAAACGCCTACCAGCAGTCGAATAAGAGGAGACGTCGGGCCCAATAGCCCTACGTGCCTCAACACACCAACAGAAAGCCCGAGATCATTGAGCCTGAAAGCCCTCAAACCCTAGGTTTGGGGTATAGGGTTTAGGGTTTAGGGTTTAGGGTTTAGGGTTTAGGGTTTAGGGTTTAGGGTTTAGGGTTTAGGGTTTAGGGTTTAGGGTCTAGGGTTGAACTCTAAACCCTTCAGATTTTGAGCCTTAGAAGCCAAAGAACCCTGAAGCCGAAACCCAGGCACCCCTCTTGTAAAGTAGGCTTAAGGTTTGGGGTTTAGGGTTTAGGGCTCAAGGTTTAGGGTTTAGGGTACAGAGTTGCAACTCAGGTTTTAGGTTTAGGGTTTGGGGTGGGCAGGTCGCTGCTTTTGGGGATTTGGTTGTGAGCCGTTGCGGGGGTCTGACCTTACGGTCGGAGGAGACATTCTTCACCACCGAGAACAACTCAGTTTAGGGAAGTGAACCCTAAACCTCGAACCCTGAACCCCGAACACCTGCAACCACACAATCTTTGAACTCCCCAAGAATTAACCCAAAGCCCTAAACCCTTCAACCTTTCTGGGTGCTTGAGTGTCTTACTCCTTGAGCTACATACCCCCCACCAACCGAAGGCTCTCAAGTCAGGCGGCCACTCACCCCCACAACCCCCGAAGGGTTGACCCCCAAACCTAAACCAAACACCCAAAGCCCTGCATCCCCAAAACCACCTAAACCCCCAAACCCTAAGCCCTTCCCCCAAACCCTACAAACCCAAAAACGCCCTCCTGATGCGGATTAACTATGTTGCGCCACTACAACCCCGTAAACCCTACACCCTCACCCTCTACTACGTACTATTGATCCCGACTATGATTAACTTGGTACCCCAGTGGTACCCTTTACCCTTTTTTTGGGTTCTGGGTTCCCTTATAAAGTACCCAAGCAAAAAAGTGCCCTCACTATAATATGGTTACTGGGCTACTAAGTTAATTAGGGTACATTTGACATGAGCCTTTTGGGGTTCATTTGGTTCCCAAGGGCCTAAAGCCTGAACCCTAAACTTCTCAGCCCAAAACCAGGAAGGGCCGCAAGTTGGAGTAGATTTATCAAGAACTGGCAAACCCTAAACCCGGAGATAGTGTGCAGCCTGAAAATTCGCTCCCCAAGGATCATGTTTGCAAACTGGGGGCCGCCATGTCGAGTCGTGGTGGAGAATGTGAGCGAGTGGCCTCCTTGCTGCAAGAGGTTCATTTTTTGGGTGTGTAGGGTTTGGGCTTTAGGGTGTAGGGTTTAGGGTTTAGGTTGTTTTGGGGGGTGTAGGGTTTTAGGGTTTAGGGTTAGGATTTAAGGAATCAGGTGTTTTGGGTTTACGGCTGGGGTTGAGACTAGGGTCTCGGGTTTAGGGTGCGGGGTTGAGGGTTTTTGGATCTAGGGTTTGGGGACTAGGGTTTGGGGTCTTGGGAATTCGGGTTTTTGTTCAGGGTTTAGGGCCCTAAACCCTAAACCCTAAACCCTAAACCCTAAACCCTAAACCCTAAACCCTAAACCCTAAACCCTAAACCCTAAACCCTAAACCCTAAACCCTAAACCCTAAGCGGGTTTAGGGTGCCTGAGCCCTACGCATGGAATCATCTTCAACCCCTTGAGCTCCCAACCCGTGGCGGTCCTGTGTTCGGAACCTGTCATGATCAGGGTTTAGGGTTTAGGGTTTAGGGTTTAGGGTTTAGGGTTTAGGGTTTAGCGTTTAGGGTTTAGGGTTTAGGGTTTAGGGCTAGGGTAGCTACATGGACCCTTGGTATGGGCCCTTACCTCCTGCAAAGGGTTCTGATGTATGGGCCCTTACTTTCTATAGGGTATATAAGGAGTATATAAGGGGTACCCTTCTAAGGTACCCTGAATTTTGGGGATCATTTTTAAAGATTCCTAAGAGGATATAAGGGCCATATTCGGAGTATATGAAGGGAACTCCTTTGGTACAAGCTTAGGGGTACGGGTCCTGAAATAACCAAGCTACCCCGAACAACCCTAAACCCAAATTATCCCCAACCCCCAACCCCCCCCCCCCCCCCACGTTATCCTGCGCATCCTTGCTATAGTATCCTAAGCCCTAGGCTAACGAAGAGAAAGAACAGAAAATCCCAAACTGTAAATCACCAACCCGGTCGGCTACGAGGTTCTCCATCTTCTTCCTCTGCTACCGATGTGCGCCCTGCCGGTGAGGATGCGCCCAGTACAACCCTCCCCCTCACCGACATAACCCCGAAACCCCTAAACCCCTTACGGCCCTGAACCCTCAAACCCTAAACCCTAAACTAAATCCATAAACTGCTAAGCCCTAAGACCCCTGAAACCCCGAAAGCCCGTAAACCCCGAAAGTCCTAAACCCTAAACTCCAAACCCTAAACCCTAAACCCTAAACCCTAAACCCTAAACCCTAAACCCTAAACCCTAAACGGATCTTAAGGACTCAGGGAACTCAGTCGGCTGAGGCGAACGAAGTACCCATGACAACATTCAGAGGTTGCTGGGTTTGTTGGTTTTAGAAGGGTTCAGGGTTTAGGGTTTCGGGTTAGGGTTTAGGGTTTAGGGTTTAGGGTTTTGGGTTTTGGGTTTAGGGTGCTCACCGGTGGGATGTAGGGGTTTCAGATTTGTGGGTTTAGGGCTTGGGGGTTGGCATTTCGTTTACATCAAGCGTGGGCCTGCCCGAGCTGTAGGAGATCTCGTTCTGTGGCTTCGGGTTTAGGGTTTAGGGTTTAGGGTTTAGGGTTTAGGGTTTAGGGGTTAGGGTTTGTGTCTGAGTTTGGGGTTTAGACCCTAAACGCCTAAACTCTACACAGCTCGGTCAGGCCCACGCTTCATCCGAAATGCCAACCCCCAAGCCCTAAACCCACAAACCCGAAACCCCTACATTTTTACCGGGGAGCGCCCTAAACCCTAAACCCTAAACCCTAAACCCTAAACCCTAAACTGCATGAGCAAGGTGCTCGGCTTCGCCGTGCTCAACGTGGTGAACTCGGTGTTCGCCACTCGGTTTTGCAGCAATGCGGACCGATCCCCAGCTTTTGGCTCGAGTTTGGGGTTTAGGGTTTAGGGTTTAGGGTTTAGGGTTTTGGGATGTAGGGTTTAGGGGTTAGGGGTTAGGGTTTGGGATGTAGGGTTTTGGTTTCAGGATTTCGGGGGGTTGCGGGTTTCTCCAACCTTGAACCCCAGACCCTAAACACTACGCCTGATAGCCGAGCAGACAGCTTTACCCCAGGTGGGAACCACGGCTTGAGATAAACCCCCTCCTCCTAGTATCATGGCGCCCTCAACTATGGCTGCCACAAGCTTAGGCAACCCTTACTCACTTCTTAGGGTTTAGGTTCCCGCAAGAAATCCCCTGTAAACCAAAAAGGGCACCCGTTTTATTCCTAGGCTACTCTTGGGTCTAGTATCATAAGCTCCCCCCCCCCCCTCCAAACCCCTAAGCCTCTAAGCCCCTATTCTAGGGTTTAGGGTTTAGGGTTTAGGGTTTAGGGTTTAGGGTTTAGGGTTTAGGGTTTAGGGTTTAGGGTTTAGGGTTTAGGGCTTTGGCCCGAGCCCTCTGAGTTCCAGGGTCAACGCTGGAAATGCAAGGTCCAGCAGACGATGAAGACCGCCAGCTCCGATGAGGAGCTAGCTCCTGATCCTGCCCTTCAGAACTTTAGGACCTAGGGCGGGGGTTTAGGGTTTAGGGTTTAGGGTTTGGGGTTTGGGGTTTGGGGTTTAGGATTTGGGGTTTAGGGTTTAGGATTCAGGGTTTAGGGTGTTTAGAGCACTAACGTCCAACTTCCCGAAGCACTAAACCCCAAACCCACAGCTGAAACGCCCCCCCCCCAACCCAAGCCAGCACCGAAGAAGCCCAACGTCCCTCAACCACCGGACATTCGGAACTCCAGTCGTGCATCAGATCTTCGGGTTGAAAATGGAACACGTAGAATAGAAGTTTCCAGGATGCCTTTCAGCAGAACCCTTATTCGCCTTTTGAAGGTTTAGGATCCCTTGCAAATTGCTAAACCCAAACCCAAAGCACATGCCCCTTTTGTAGTCCCATGAAACTGGGAACCTAGATGATGCGCCCTGCTTGGATACCCTAAACCCTCAAGTTCTAGTAGCAACCCCAGGAGGGAATCAATCACTGAAGAAAATAAGTCCATGTACCCGAACATGACGACATGTGCCGCAGTTGTTTTGGATGTTTCAGGTTCAGGGTCCCACTTGCAGAAGGGTGCTGGGTTGCTCCTGTTAGGATTTAGGACTTATGGCTTGCTAAACCCTAAACTCTAAACCCTAAACCCTTAGCGGCCCTAAGCCCTAAGCCCTAAACCACAAACTCTACCTTTAGAGGTTTAGAAGGGGCCCTGGACCCTGTCTACGAAAGCCCCAACAGTTTGAAACCGAAAAGCACAACAGAAAGCCTTGGCCTGAAGGTTCAAAAGGGTTTAGGGTTTAGGGTTTAGGGTTTAGGGGTCGAGATTTTGCGCGGTTTCGGGGTACCTTAGGCTAGAAAACGTGGAGTATCGCATCTGTAGCAGTGGCGATTTTCTTTTAGGGGCTAAAACCACCCCGCAAATGGACAATCATGTTGCATTCTTCGGGAGTTCAGGTATCTCTAAACCCTAAACCCTAAACCCTAAACCCTAAACCCTAAACCCTAAACCCTAAACCCTAAACCCTAAACCCCCTCGAGCGGATCCCAAGGCTTTCAGGCAGAAAGAGAAGGTGCCTTGGCCAGAGCTATGTCTGGCGCGTTTGTTCTTAGGATTCCTAGGGTTTAGGGTTTAGGGTTTAGGGTTTAGGGTTTAGGGTTTAGGGTTTAGGGTTTAGGGTTTAGGGTTTAGGGTTTAGGGTTTAGGGTTTAGGGTAACATTGGGGCTAAAGTTTCTTGGGGTTAAGGGTTCGTCCAGGGTTCAGGGTTCCGGGTTAAGCCTTAGGGTTCAGGGCTCGTGTAGGCTTCTTGCTTCTGTGCTCGGGGTTTACAAGTTTAGGATTCTCACAGCTCTTGGGCTTCGGCGTTTCTTCCAGTTAAGGGCTTTACGGCTCGGGGTTTTTTAAAGGTTCAGGGTAAAGTTTAGGGTTTAGAGTTTCATAGCCTAAAGGTTCTTCGGGCTTTGGGGTTCATGGCCCCTGAACCCTAAACCCAAAACCCTAAACCCTAAAGCCTAAACCCTAAACCCTAAGCCCTAAACCGTCTTTTTGGGACCATGGCTTCGCAGCGGTGCTCACGGTGTGCAGGGTTTAGGGCTTCTGGGGTTCTCCTGCTTGTAGGCCATACACTATATCCCCCACGGGAATTAGTTTTTTTATTTTGTTTATATTGTAAAAACCCAAGAGGATATTTATAATGGCATAGTATATTTTATTAAGGCTCTAAGGGGAGTATAGTAAAGTCCGGAACCTCAAGCCCAGAACCCTGAACCCCAAGCCCCCACCACGAAGCCCAAGGCGCCCTATGAGCATTCTATGACCCTTGTGAAGTTCCTAAACCCTAAGCCCGAAGCCCTAAACCCTAAACCCTAAACCCCAAACCCTAAACCCTAAACCCTAAACCCTAAACGTCGCGACTTGCACAAGCCCCCAGCGCCCGACTGCGAAATCAAAGGAGTCCTTGCACCCTCCCAAACCCCAAACAAACTCTATGGGTTTGGGTTTAGGGTTTAGGGTTTAGGGTTTAGGGTTTAGGGTTTAGGGTTTAGGGTTTAGGGTTTAGGGTTTAGGGTTTAGGGTTTAGGGTTTAGGGTTTAGGGTTTACCCTATGAACCTTTTAAACCCTGATTGTTGCCAACACCCCCCCCCCCCCCAAACCCTAAACCCTGATTGTTTCCCAGAACCCTAAGCCCTTAACCTGATTGCCCCCAATTCCTAAACCCAAAACCCCAAATCCTAAACCCTAAGCATTAAACCCTAAACCCTAACCCTCAACGCTAAACGCTAAAACACAAACCCTAATGTTACGTGGCAGCCCCCGGGTTAAGATTTCAGGACATCGCCTTGTACAATAGCGCCTTGACTGCAGGTTTTGGGGATTAGGGTTTAGGGGAGGCACCGGTTTAGGGATTTGGGGCCTGGGGTTTTCGGATTTTTTGGGGTGGTTTTTGGGGAGGTTTTGAGGGCGGTTTTGGGGGGTGAGGATGCAGAGCTTCTGCCTTTTGTGTCGAGCTCAACAGCGTTAGGTGCAAGTAGCTGAAACGCTACCCTAAATCTTTTGAAGGCTGTTTACATATCTTTGAAACCTAGATTCCGTCACAAGCCTAAACCCTAAACCCCGAAAGCCAATAGTTTCCTGACCTTGAATCCCACACCGGAAGGCCGCTCGTGGATACGGTTTAGGGCTTAGGGTTTAGGTTTGTGGGGGGGGCGGTGTAGGGTTTGGCGTTAGCGCGCAGACCAAAAATGCGGTAAACAAAGCCCCCCAAAACACCCCAAACCCGAAACACCATGTTCGTGCTGGGTCGCAAGGGTTCGGCTGTTCGGGCGTACCCCCGACCATTGGGAGCAGGTGAAGTTGCTTTTTTCCGCGGGCGGGGGGGTGAAGAATTCACACCCTAGGGCGTCCCCCAATCCCTTAAACGGCTTGAAAGTCTTGAGAAAGGTAAACCCTAAACCCGGAACCCTCGGTTCAGGGTTGAGGGCTTCTATATGCTTTGATTAGGGGTTTAGAGGTTGTTTAGGATTTCAGCTGTAGAGTTTGCGGTTTAGGTATGTAGGGTTTAGGTTTGGGGTTCAGGGTGGCTTGAGGGTGTGAGGGTTTAGGACTAGGGGCGAACCCTCCCCCAGATTAAGCAGGAAAGGTGAAGAAGCTCTTCAAGACAATCGACTCTTCTGGGGATGGCGCGATCAATCTGGAGGAGTGGCTCGGAAGATACGCCCTGTGAGCCCCACAACCCTATGAACCCTATGTAATCCCTATCAAAAAGTAACGTACCCTAAACCCCAAACCCCAAAGCCCAAACCCTAAACCCTAAACCCTATAAACCCTAAACCCTAAACTGAAACCTGTTGCTAGCCCAGTGGTTGCCCTTTACCCTCTTTTTTGGTTGGCGTTCCGCATAAAGCAACCAACCCCCAAAAAGTGTGCCCTTGTTGGAAAATATGGTTACTGGAGTATAAGGACCCCAAACCCTCATCACGGCTTCGGAACATAAACCCTACACCCCAAACCCCAAACCCAACACCCGAAACCAAAAGCCTAAATACTTACGGCTTAGGGCTTAGGGCTTAGGACTTCGGGTTCCTATTCGCTCTAAGGTTCTCCAAGCTGGTGAAGTCTCCGAAGCTGCAGTTTTGGATGAGCCAGCTGGAGCTGCTTGTCGCGAAGCCGCTGGCTCTGGGCCAGACTCAATGCTAGGGTTGAGGTTTAGGGTTTAGGGTTTAGGGTTTAGGGTTTAGGGTTTAGGGTGTAGGGTTTAGGGGTTCAGGGGGGGGGGGGGTAGGTACCTGGGGTGGGAGAAAAGTGTTAGATGGCCCTCCGCAATCGGGCCAAAGCTGCTCTTCGCACCTCACGAAGCTTTCGAGCTTGTCCCGAAACCTAACCTTCACAGCATCTACGCCCTATCACAGCAAGCCCTCAACCCTAAACCCTGAACCCTAAACCCTAAACCCTAAACCCTAAAATCCTAAAACCCTAAAACCCTAAAACCCTAAACCCTAAACTCAGGGCCTAGGCCGCCCCCCTACGTTGGGTTGGGGGGCGGCGCTGGAACAGCGCTATAGTTGGGGTTACCCTAAACCCTAAACCCTAAACCCCATTGGGGATATAAGCACCCATGAGCCCTTTGAACAGAGAATGCAGAGGTTGGAGTACCATGATCTTCTCAGCTTGTTTGAGTTCTTGGACAATGGGGATGGCCAGATCACGATGCTTGGACGCCATGGGGTACATGGGGGTACAGGGGTGTTTTGGATTTGTCTGAAGTACCCTGAACCCCAAACCCCTACCCCCTAAACCCCTAAGTCCCTTGACCCCTCAACCCCTGGACCCCTAAACCCTAAGCATGTACGGCGGCCCAGGAACAGAACACCTTCTCAAACCATGGGAAGACACAATCGGCGATGGCCATTTGTTAGCCATGTGAAGTAGGGTCGAACACCCTGGAAGACTCATACAGTGTCGGGAACGAATAGTATTCTCACAGACTTTTTCTAGACTCACCCCCCAAAACCCCCTATTCCAACTATTAAGGCCCCCTGTATCTTACAACCCTCCCCCCCAAAAAAAAAACAAACAGGAAAGCCTGACAACTGCGTTTGTCAACCTCAGAACTCAGCATCCTTCCTAGCACCCCCAAACCCTAAGCCCGTAAACCCAAAACCCCTACACCCTACACCCTAAACCCTAAACCCTAAACCCTAAACCCTGAACCCTCAACCCTAAACCCTTTTGGCTGGCCGCTTGCCAAAAGTGGGCCCTCGAAGCCAAGGTTGAACGAGTTCATCGAGGGTGCCCAGCGCTTAAGAGGTGTTGCCAAGGCCAGACACTCTAGGGTTTAGGGTTTAGGGTTTAGGGTTTAGGGTGTGGCGTTTGGTGCATATATGTGTGCGAAGGAGGGGGAGGGAGAGAAAGGGAGACAACTTGGGAAGCCAAGACAACGAAGAATGTGTATGATGAGAGAGAGGGTTTAGGATTTAGGGTTTGGGGGGTTTAGAGGGTTTAGGGGGTTTAGGGGGTTTAGGGGGTTTAGGGGGTTTAGGAGGGTTTAGGAGGGTTTAGGAGGGTTTAGGGTTTAGGGCTTAGGAGACAAGAAAGGGGACGCAGGGCATTCAGGTGTTTGTTGGAGGTGTGGAGTCGTACGTGTGGACGTAGCAAATGTCTGACCTGAAAACCCTAAACCCACTCATTTTTGAAGCACCTTAAACCCTGAAACCTCCCAAGCCATGACCTTGTCCTTGAAACCTAACCCCTAAACCCTAAACCCAGTTCTGAGTCGTAAGAGGCTCCTGTCACACAACTGCGCAATTCCACGCCCTCAATCTTTGTGAGTTCCAGCGTAGGGTTTCGGGTGCTAATGGCAGGCTCCAAGTCGGAGAATTTAGGGTTGAGGGTTGGTCATATGAAACAGGGTTTATATTACTGTTTTTGGTGAGTGTATATAAGGTTCCTTTTTAATATTGGTGAGTGTATATACCTGGTGTCCTTTTGGGGGTACAAGAAATATGTACCCTACTTCATATGTGACAGGTTGTTGTCGAGTGTGAGGCCTTGTTTGCCTAGCAAGTATAGCTCCCCCAGCTTTGGTCTACCCACCCAGTAAGCCCTATAGCCTCCAAGAACGAACGCAAACCCCTAAACCCTAAACCCTAAACCCTAAACCCTGCTGAGTTCAAGCCTCGACTTCAGGCCATAGATGTCTGGAGGATGGAGACCAAGGCTCCGCAGTTGGGCCCATCCTTGGGAGTTTGGGGTTTAGGGTTTAGGGTTTGGGGTTTAGGGTTTATAGGGTTTAGGGCAAGTATTGTTGAGCAACTACCGTCCCCAATCATGGTCACCCCTAAACCCTAAACCCTCAAGGCCCTGCACCTAAGGACCAAAGAGGGGTACACATAATGTACCCCACCCAGGACGCACTGACGCCCTAAGCCTTCGTCTTGCTCCCCCCCTCCTGGAAGAACCCCCAACAGCGGCGCACGCAGACAGGCGAAAACAACTCACATTCCTGAGTCTTGAGATTCCGGCAGCTCGTCAAGCAGCAGCAGCAGCAGGTCAACAACCCTAAGCCCTAAACCCTATATATATATATATATATATATATATATAAACCCTAGACCCTAAACCCTAGACCCGAAACCCCAAACCCCAAACCCCAAACCCTAAACCCCAAACCCCAAACCCTAAACCCCAAACCCTAAACCCCAAACCCTAAACCCCAAACCCTGAACCCCAAATTCGGCAGCGGCGGGCTCCACCCGACACCTTTCCCAGCAGCTCCCGCAGTTGAGCCCCGCTGCAGAGCGCCAGGCGCCGACAGAATAAAGCAAGCACCGAGACACAGCAAAATTTGCCAGAATTTCCCTAAACCCTAAAACCTCAACCTTAAACCCTAAACCCTAAACCCAAAACCCATAACCCTTAACCCTAAACCCTAACTGGAGTCTAGCAGGCCACGCTGCCCTGCATTCCCTCCTCCTTGCCCCCCTGGCGCCCCCCCTGACGCGCCCTGAAACCTTTGAAGGTGTAGGGTTTAGGGTTTGGGGTTTAATTAGGGTTTAGGGTTTAGGGTTTAGGCTTCAGGGTTTAGGGTTTAGGGTTTAGGGTTCAGGGTTCAGCGTTCAGGGTTTGGGCTTAGATGTAGGCCCGACAGCACGCCATTGCTAGATGCTTCTCTAGTATGGGCCCTGCATTTCGGCGTCGATTAGGCAGGGTTTAGGGTTGAGGGATCAGTGTTTAGGGTTGAGGGTTTACGCGCTCCTAACTAATTTTCGGTCTGCCCAATCCGGAACCTTATCCCTCAGTCCTAAACCCTCAACCCCAAGCCCTCAACCCCAAACCCTAACGCTGAACTCTAAACCCTAAACCCTCAGCCCTCAACCCTCAACCCTCAACCCTCAACCCTAAACCCTAAACCCTAAACCCTAACAACCCTAACCCTAAACCCTAAACCCCCAAACGATTTCGAACAACTACGGGCCACATCCCTGAGCCCAAGAAGCCCTGGGAGGTGGAAGTTCTCTTTGAGGCGGTCTTGAACCTCCTGAAGCAGACACCTGGCTTCTGCCCCTTCAGGTTTAGAGTTTAGGGTTAGGGTTTAGGGTTTAGGGTTTAGGGTAGTTCTGGGCTTCTCTTTACTGTTGGTTAGCAGGGAGTGGGGGGGAATGAGGTACAGTACCCTATATACCCTTGAAGGGATTCTATAGGGTACCTCATTCCCCATTTCCCTACTGAGGAGGTTTCAGGTACAGGTTTGCTAGGGTCTAGGGTTTAGGGTTTTAAGTTTAGGGTTAGGGTTTAGGGTTTTTTCAGGGTTTGAGGGTTTAGGGCTCGGGGCTTCAGGGGATTTAGGGAAGTGAACCGCTTTCTGACCCCTGCGCTCAAAGCTTCCCGGCCAATCAAGCGCCGAACGTTTGCATCAGTCGGGTTTAGGTTTTAGGGGGTGTATACTTGTACTCTGGAAATACTTTACTACGAGGATAGTATTCAGGCAGGAGTTCTGGTTCAGAGTGGTTGAAGGACCGTCCTAGTCAAGTGCTTACCGTATCAGAAAGTGCTGTGCCATTGCCAGGGCAATATGCGAGTAGCAAGATCACACACAGACAGCAGTATAATCTACTGTTTGCATGGTAGACCCGGTAGACCCCCCCCCCCCTAAAAAACTAAGCAACATATTCTTACTTAAAAGGGCGATATTGGATGTTTACTTCTTTTTTTTTTTGGGGGGGGCCGGGTAGAAGGAAGGATTCTGCAGCTGGAGTAGCCGCAATGGTGCGTTTGGGCTCACAGATGGTAGCTTGGATCTGCTTGCACGTCCTTCAGCTGAGTGCGCACTGCACTGTTTGTCAACGAGCGCCGGGCTCGGTTCCGTGGCTCAAGCTCTTCGGATTAACTCCACAAAAGGGGGCCCCCTGATGAGCCTAGAGGTCACGGGTGTGCATCTGACTATACAAGCTGCACCACCCATAAAAAGGCTTCAGATGTACATCCGTTCTGTACCTTAGGAGGGCCCTTTTCGGAGATATTTGTCGATGTCGCCTATGGCGCTACGTCCCTGTTGTTTGGACTTCTTTGCCGATGTGAAACTCGGATCGAAGCGAATGCACCAATGCCAAGTCCTCAGGAACTTCAACATTCCATACCGGCTATCTTCACGTTTCTTCGTCAAGGCGTCGGCAAGGTCGTAGTCGGACTTCAACCAACGAAGTTCACATCCAGCTCGCTTTAGATTGTCTCTCAACTGGAACGCTTGCAGAGCAGCTCGCATGTTGCTCAGGCCCAATAGTGGTGACTCGTTCAGCTCCACGGCATCATATCCACCACGAGAGTCTGTGCAAAGTACTCCTCGAACCATGAGCACTTGTCGTTCGGTGCTTTCCACCAAATCGTCTCGTAGTGGTCTTGCGTCCGCGCTGCCACCTGCTCCATGAAGCTCTGTCCAGAGAAGTCTCGTCCGGAAGTTCTGGTCTTCAGCCTCCAAGATCGACTGCACTTCAGCATCATTCGATCCAATTGCACGTCTCTTCAATTTCCATGTGCGCCACGCCAACAAGGACATAGGGCATATGGCGCCTTGAAGACACTCAGGTCCTGCAACCATCGTCACGAGGCCACCAGTTGATTCTCCCTTCGGCCGATTGCTATGAGCCTGATCACCCATTGAGATGAACACCAGCTCACTCCAGTGTTTCGCCTGTGGGAACTTTCGGAACTCCAGCCTGAAGTTTTCTTGCCGGACTTCTCCAATCATCGCCTGAATCTCCCTTGCCGTGCTCATAGTGCCAGACGTGACTACTTCGGTCAGCAACAAGTTGCACCTTGAGCACAACTGCGGTTGGGACTGTATCGCAAGCCACTGCAATGCTCCCAATGCCGTTCTGCAGGCCTCGACATCCTTCTTGTTGAGCGGCTCATCGGTCCTGATGCGATCAACATCGATGTCCACATCGGCCAGCGTCTCGACGTAGTAGCTCTGGTCCACCGTGATCTTCTGGAATCCATTGTCGTCCCGCTCGGTGCAAATGTCGGTTCCAGCATGTCTGTAGCTGCCAGTTTTTGCCATACCCCATTTGTACGCCGAGTCAATCTGGCGCTTTACTTCCAACCACTCTTCGCTAGCATCTTCTCCAATGCGGTGGAAGTCATCAACATGGCCACCCATTGCGCCAATCACTTTCGGATGGTTTCCGTCCATCTGGTGTTTCGACAGCCATATCCACAAGCAACGCTCGCCCAACACTGGTTGTCCGCCAAGACGAGTCAACGTCTTGTGTAGGTCTAGCCACAATCCACGAGGTGCCGTCGTGCTGCCGTAGATATTCCGGAGAATCCGCATGATTCCTTCACCTTCTATTCCCAGGGCTTGCCTCAACTCTGCCACGCCAGTGGTCCACAGCTCCTGATCCGCAGCGGTGGGTTGCGTTTGAAGAA